GCCACGTCGCTCCGTAACGCAGGTCCGTATCGACGAAGACAAAGTACGCCGAAAAACGGTTGTCATCGGTACTTTTGAGGCGCTCAAAGTTTACTTTTTCGAAATTTGACGGTAATTCTGACGGTCAGAATCGTTTCGTCAGCTCATTATCGTTATTTTTCGATAGCTGTATAATTTTTACTCGCTCACGTACGGTAGTAATAAGCGAGGACAGAGCCGGATGACAAGGTGACTTTTTCACGCGTCGAAAAGTAGCGTGTTGTCGAGGAATTTTTAAAAAATCGAAACTTTTCAACGTAAACGAATAATGATGATGAAAATAGTATTAAAAGAGTGTCCGAAGCATGGACTTTCGCACGCAAAAATCGTCAGGTTCGTAGCTCCTTTATCTTCGGAGGAGATAGCTGATATACGGCGAAGCAGCGCGCTTTATACGCAAAAAAGTCATTCTTGACGACGTTCGAGATTCGTTTACTCGAAACGGGTACCGTAAACGAAAAAACGTCTCTCCGCGTAATTTGTAGCGCTCGCCGAGATGTACGAAACGCGGCACGCGAAATTCCTTTTCTCTTCGGCATAAGGGAGATATCGTAGTTTTCAAGGCGATTCGTCGTTTTTGTCGCTTTTTTTTCGAACATTTCTAGAAAAAAAACCGAGACGCGGAACCGAACAGATTTAGCTTATTGGTACGTATTTCTCGTTTAGCTATCGAACGAGACCGATCTCGAGTCGATATTTCGATAAACGGCGAAACGAGTGTGAAATAACGCCGCGTACCGTCCGGAAAACGGCCGATTTTTCGACTTTACCGGCCGTTTTCGATCCGATCCGTTCGTCTCGCCGCGACGGCTCTCGCCCGCCCGTAAAGCGCCGAGTTTCTACTTTCCGAAACGGTACCTCTTTCCCTCCGAACGTACCGCGAACCTCCTAAAAAACCGCGAAAACCGCGTCGACGTCGCACGGCCTGACTCTAACGTCACGTGACCTTCTAAGAAAAAACAATCGATCACCGCTTAATATAGTCGACTAGCGCAGTTTTTAGCATGCCAACGCTATGCTAAATATTGTCCGTTGATGTCTTTATTTAAAACCACCCGTAGCGCAGTTGCTGGTATGCTAATGCAATGCTAGCGATATATACTTTATCCCTATCTCTAATCGTTTTTTATCCTTTGGCATCTTTGATCTGTTATCTCGTATCTGGTATCTGGTGTCTGGTGTCTGGTATTTGGTATCTGTTATCGCTTTATCTGGTATCTGGTATCTGTTGTCTGGTATCTGGTGTCTGGTATCTGGTATCTAGTGCCTGGTATCTGGTATCTGGTGTCTGGTATCTGGTGTCTGGCATCTGGTATCTGGTATCTGGTGTCTGGTATCTGGTATCTGGTATCTGATGTCTGGTATCTGGTATCTGGTGTCTGGTATCTGGTATCTGGTGTCTGCTATCTGGTGTTTGGTATCTGGTGTCTGGTCTGGTAATTTTTAATTTTTAGATTTTTCGATTTTTCGATTTTTCGATTTTTCGATTTTTCGATTTTTCGATTTTTCGATTTTTAGATTTTTAGATTTTTAGATTTTTAGATTTTTAGATGTTTAGATTTTTTGATTTTTGATTTTTGATTTTTTGATTTTTTGATTTTTGATTTTTGATTTTTTGATTTTTGATTTTTTGATTTTTTGATTTTTTGATTTTTGATTTTTTGATTTTTGATTTTTGATTTTTGATTTTTTTGATTTTTTGACTTTTTGATTTTTTGATTTTTTGATTTTTTGATTTTTTGATTTTTTGATTTTTTGATTTTTTGATTTTTTGATTTTTTATTTTCACCTTATTTAAATCTGCTGACGATTTCCGTTTTCCGTTTTTCGTTTTTTGTTTTTCGTTTTTCATATTTTATTTTTCATTTTTCATTCTTCATATTTCATTTTTCATTTTTCATTTTGCATTTTTCATTCATTTTTCATTATTCATTTTTCAACGTCGCATGTGTCACCATAAATAACACACAATGGCATTATAAAATCGTCGATATAGCATTAATGCCCTCTATAAAATTGTATGACAAACTCAGATTTATGTGAGGATCCGGCAACGTCGCATGTGTCACCATAAATAACACACAATGGCATTATAAAATCTTCGCTATAGCATTAATGCCCTCTATAAAATTGTATGACAAACTCCGATTTATGTGAGGATCCGGCAACGTCGCATGTCTAGCTACCGCACTTACAAAAAATGGCGCTTGACACTTGACATATCTCAACCGTGTTCGTCTAAGGATAGCACCTTCTATCTTCAGTGTAAATGTTTTATGATTTGACAGGAATAAAAATTATTTTTACCTTATTTAAATCTGCTGACGATTAATAAGGATACCTCACGATCTTCTTAAAAGATGAAATACGTTATCACGATAGATATACACTGAGGCACTTCGTCTGAACCGAAAAAGTGTAAACACTCGGCACCGGGTATCACTACACAATACACACACTGTTATAAGTACAAAGTCTTGCTATGTTGTGGATTTCTGCTCTCTTCAGGAATTGATCTTTGGCATTAATAACGTCTTTCAATCATATTTATCGTATTTAAGCTGATGAACTGCTAAACGTGAAAGAATAATTGCACAATCTGTCAGTAAACATCGGAATCTATCGGTAATCATCGCAATCTGTCGGTAAACACCGAAACCTACTCGATTGTTATAACGAATAAGGGTATAGTCCGGTACCGTTTGTACTATAGAATATAGAAATTTTGAATCCTTTCGGAAATGTTTATTTTCACGCGTAAAAAAGGACAATGGTATTCGGCGTGATCCTATATTCGATGAAGCGACCAACATAAAGCCGAAAATGGCACGTTTTTGACGTTCCGCTTGCACGCGCTCGCTTTCGTAATACGATCGTGTCTACAATACCCCGCCTAACAGGAATCCGGGGATCTGGAGGGGAAATTCAAAATTGAAACGTCAAACTAAAAATATCTGCATATCTTTGAATTTTGTAATCTGCCGAGTTTAAAAAATGCGATCGGGTAACGTGTAGTATGTCGGTTTAATCAGGAGACTTTGGTCTTTCGTTTTGCGAAAAAAAAACGTAGCTACGTCGCTCCGTAACGCAGGTGCGTATCGACGAAGACAAAGTACGCCGAAAAACGGTTGTCATCGGTACTTTTGAGGCGCTCAAAGTTTACTTTCTCGAAATTTGACGGTAATTCTGACGGTCAGAATCGTTTCGTCAGCTCATTATCGTTATTTTTCGATAGCTGTATAATTTTTACTCGCTCACGTACGGTAGTAATAAGCGAGGACAGAGCCGGATGACAAGGTGACTTTTTCACGCGTCGAAAAGTAGCGTGTTGTCGAGGAATTTTTAAAAAATCGAAACTTTTCAACGTAAACGAATAATAATGATGAAAATAGTATTAAAAGAGTGTCCGAAGCATGGACTTTCTCACGCAAAAATCGTCAGGTTCGTAGCTCCTTTATCTTCGGAGGAGATAGCTGATATACGGCGAAGCAGCGCGCTTTATACGCAAAAAAGTCATTCTTGACGACGTTCGAGATTCGTTTACTCGAAACGGGTACCGTAAACGAAAAAACGTCTCTCCGCGTAATTTGTAGCGCTCGCCGAGATGTACGAAACGCGGCACGCGAAATTCCTTTTCTCTTCGGCATAAGGGAGATATCGTAGTTTTCAAGGCGATTCGTCATTTTTGTCGCTTTTTTTCGAACATTTCTAGAAAAAAAACCGAGACGCGGAACCGAACAGATTTAGCTTATTGGTACGTATTTCTCGTTTAGCTATCGAACGAGACCGATCTCGAGTCGATATTTCGATAAACGGCGAAACGAGTGTGAAATAACGCCGCGTACCGTCCGGAAAACGGTAGATTTTTCGACTTTACCGGCCGTTTTCGATCCGATCCGTTCCTCTCGCCGCGACGGCTCTCGCCCGCCCGTAAAGCGCCGAGTTTCTAGTTTCCGAAACGGTACCTCCTTCCTTCCGAACGTTTCGCGAACCGGGAAAAAACCGAAAAAAACCGCGTCGACGTCGCCCGCCCAAAATTTCTAACGTCACGTGACCTCTTCCTTAAAACAATCGATCACCGCTTAATATAGTCGACTAGCGCAGTTTCTGGCATGCTAACGCTATGCCAAATATTGTACGTTGATGTCTTTATTTAAAACCTCACGTAGCGCAGTTGCTGGTATGCTAATGCAATGCTAGCGATATATACTTTATCCCTATCTCTAATCATTTTCTATCCTTTGACATGTTTGATCTGGTATCTGGTCTCTGATGTCTGGTGTCTGGTATCTGATGTCTGGTATCTGGTGTCTGGTATCTGGTATCTGGTGTCTGGTATCTGGTGTCTGGTGTCTGGTATCTGGTATCTGGTGTCTGGTGTCTAGTATCTGGCGTCTGGTATCTGGTATCTGATGTGTGGTGTCTGGTGTCTGGTATCTGGTATCTGATGTCTGGTATCTGGTGTCTGGTATCTGGTATCTGGTGTCTGGTATCTGGTATCTGGTGTCTGGTATCAGGTATCTGGTATCTGGTATCTGGTATATGGTATCTGGTGTCTGGCATCTGGTATCTGGTATCTGGTGTGTGGATCTGGTATCTGGTATCCGGTGTCTGGTGTCTGGTGTCTGGCATCTGGTATCTGCTATCTGGTATCTGGTGTCTGGTATCTGGTGTCTGGTATCTGGTGTCTGGTATCTGGTATCTGGCATCTCGTATTTGGTATCTGGTGTCTGGTATCTGGTATCTGGAATCATATATCTGGTATCTGGTATCTGATGTCTGGTATCTGGTATCTGGAATCTGGTATCTGGTATCTGGTGTCTGGTATCTGGTATCTGGTATTTGGTATCTGTTATCTCTTTATCTGGTATCTGGTTTCTGGTGTCTGGTATCTGGTATCTGGTGTCTGGTGTCTGGTATCTGGTATCTGGTATCTCGTATCTGGTATCTGGTATCTGGTATCAGGTATCTGATGTTTGGTATCTGGTGTCTGGTATCTGATGTCTGGTATCTGGTGTCTGGTATCTGGTGTCTGGTATCTGGTGTCTGGTATCTGGTGTCTGGTATCTGGTGTCTGGTATCTGGTATTTGGTATCTGTTATCTCTTTATCTGGTATCTGGTGGCTGGTATCTGGTATCTCGTATCTGGTGTTTGGTATCTGGTACCTGGTATCTGGTATCTGGTGTCTGGTGTCTGGTATCTGGTATCTATTATCTGGTATCTCGTATCTGGTATCTGGTATCTGGTTTCTGGTGTCTGGTATCTGGTATCTGGTGTCTGGTGTCTGGTATCTGGTTTCTGGTGTCTGGTATCTGGTGTCTGGTGTCTGGTATCTGATGTCTGGTATCTGATGTCTGGTATCTGGTGTCTGGTGTCTGGTATCTGGTGTCTGGTGTCTGGTATCTGATGTCTGGTATCCGATGACTGGTATCTGGTGTCTGGTGTCTGGTATCTGGTATCTGGTGTCTGGTATCTGGTGTCTGGTATCTGGTGTCTAGTATCTGGTTTCTGGTATCTGCTATCTGGTATCTGTTATCTTTTATAAGTTATCAGTTTTCATTTTTCATTTTTCTATTTTAATCTTTAATTTTAATTTTTAATTTTTAATTTTTATTTAATTTTTAATTTATTTAATTTTAATTTTAATTTTTAATTTTTAATTTTTAATTTTATTTTTAATTTTAATTTTTAATTTTTAATTTTTAATTTTTAATTTTTAATTTTTAATTTTTAATTTTTAATTTTTAATTTTTAATTTTTAATTTTTAATTTTTAATTTTTAATTTTTAATTTTCGATTTTCGATTTTTCGATTTTTCGATTTTTCGATTTTTCGATTTTTCGATTTTTCGATTTTTCGATTTTTCGATTTTCGATTTTTCGATTTTTCGATTTTCGATTTTTCGATTTTTCGATTTTTCGATTTTTCGATTTTCGATTTTCGATTTTTCGATTTTTCGATTTTTCGATTTTTCGATTTTCGATTTTTCGATTTTTCGATTTTCGATTTTCGATTTTCGATTTTTCGATTTTTCGATTTTTCGATTTTTCGATTTTCGATTTTTCGATTTTTCGATTTTTCGATTTTTCGATTTTTCGATTTTTCGATTTTTCGATTTTTCGATTTTTCGATTTTTCGATTTTTCGATTTTTCGATTTTTCGATTTTTCGATTTTTCGATTTTTCGATTTTCGATTTTTCGATTTTCGATTTTCGATTTTCGATTTTTCGATTTTTCGATTTTTCGATTTTTCGATTTTTCGATTTTCGATTTTTCGATTTTTCGATTTTCGATTTTCGATTTTTCGATTTTTCGATTTTTCGATTTTTCGATTTTTCGATTTTTCGATTTTTCGATTTTTCGATTTTTCGATTTTCGATTTTCGATTTTTCGATTTTTCGATTTTTCGATTTGATTTTTTGATTTTGATTTTTGATTTTTAATTTTCAATTTTCAATTTTTCATTTTTCATTTTTCATTCTTCAGATTTCAGTTTTCATTTTTTAGTTTTCAGTTATCAGTTATTTGTTATCTGTTATCTGTTTCTTTTATCTGTTACTTTTTATCTGTTATCTGTCATCTTTTATCTGTTATAAGTTATCTGTTATCTGTTATATGTTACCACCTGTTACCTGTTACCACCTTTTACCTGTTATCTGTTATTTTCCATATAGCATTGAAAATATCCCGTATACAATTGTATAACAGACTCAGATTTATGTGAGATGCCGGCAACGTCGCATGTGTTGTTGTTAATACCATACATGGCGTTATAAAATCTTCCATGTAGCAAATTGTATAGCAGACTTAGATTTATATGAGGATCATCGCATAAATCTAGCTATAACACGACTTGCAAAAAAATGGCGCTTGACACTGACATATGTCAACCGTGTTCGTCTATGGATAGCAGTGGACTATGCTTTCTTCAGTGTATATGTTTTCTGTTTTGTAATGTCAATGTCATTGTCATAGGTAATTTTTTCTAACCTGGAAAATGAAATGTATTTTGTTTAAAATTAAAATTCAATAACTCCTATTGTGAGATGTGTGCATCTACAACATAATGAAAGGAAAAATTAAGATTCTGAAAGTTAATTCCTAAATATCATAGAAAGGAAATCCGTAAAACTAAAAAAAAAGTAAACATAAACACCTTGAGAAAATTTCTTCCGTATCAAGTGGTTAAAGTGGAGTTTTAAAACAATTTTTGATGAAAATAAGGCCGTTAGTTTACAAGCAGGTATGTAACTGAGCGATCCGCTAATGTGTGTGTATCTTGCTTATAAAAAATGCTGTATTTAGATATTGCTATTCATATGAGCTACCGTTCTTTGATAGGATATTTTCAAATTGAACTTTTGTCTTATTTTTACTATTTATTGCAGGAGAACAGTTGTTGAACCAGGTCCTGGTGCATACTTATGTAGTTGTCACTTTGTGGATGGGAAAAAAGAAAATAGACCTACATTGTTTAGGTATAATAGGGAGAAGCAATTGAACTTTCCATCGTCAGAAAGAAGAACCCGTAAAAATAACAACAATGTGAAAATTGAACTCTATAATATGTTACTTCAAATTGGGCCCTTTTAAGGGATGTATGTAATAATTATGTGATCTGCAGAAATAAAAATAGTTTAGATACAACACATGGCATCATAAATTATTTTAATGTAGAGTTCAGTACTCGTATAGGTAACTTTCACTCCCCTGGCAGGCTTAATCTAAGCGATATCACAAATATGTCTATACCAAGTTACGATTATACTGTGCAAGAGTACTTATCTTACAAATTTTGACAAGTAATGGTGTCTGTTGTTTTGACAAGTCTTGGAAGTCACAAGTTCTTAAAGCAGCTACATTCTAAATCGATTTAGATCAAAATAAACAACTGCAGTGGCTGTGAAAGTCTTAGTAATTTTGAAAACTTTGGTAGTAGATATGATTATCAATGCTATTTTTCAGCGCTTTGCATATTCCTTCATCTGCTTGATAATATTTGCCAATCGAAGGGATAGATGACAAGTTTGTTTACTTATTTTCCATTTATACATACTACTCAGGTGAGATACTACTACTACAAGGTTTTTACAATATTTATGAGTTTGTTGGTGGTAAAGTTCTTCGTTTGGGAAAAATTCAACAGAAGCAGATGAACAATGCTCGCTTTATGATCTGGAGAAAAATGTGCTATCGCTTTAAACTAAAATTTCCTCTATTTTTTTAATGTTGTATGATTATGATCAATCAATTAGAAACATGACATATAATAATAACATCTCAAAAAATTAGACCGGAAGCTTGAAATTATTAAGTACTATAGTTGTTGGACAGTAAGTAATAGTATCGCTTGAAAATCAAATTTTGTAATCTGTTTCCTCTGATTCAATAATGAATTTTTCTGTAATCTATGATTAAGATCAGTCTTAGAAACAGGACAGATGTGAGTATCCTTGAAATTAGACATATAATAATAACATCTTTAAAAACAGAATAGAAATTTGAAATCATCAAGTGCTATAGTTTTTTGACAAGTAATGGTGTCTGTTGTTTTGACAAGTCTTGGAAGTGACAAGTCCTTAAAGCAGCTACATTCTAAATCGAAGTACATACATTCTGCATTGAGATCAAAATAAACAACTGCAGTGGCTGTGAAAGTCTTAGTAATTTTGAAAACTTTGGTAGTAGATATGATTATCAATGCTATTTTTCAGCGCTTTGCATATTCCTTCATCTGCTTGATAATATGTATGTGCCACTGTTAGCCAGCTAATAGGTCTACATATTAAATAAATTGAACTGAGGGTCAAGACTGAACTCTTACTGAACTTCATAGAAGTGACTGACTACTTACGTTTGCAATAGAAACACATAAACTGTAAACACTTCACACAACACTTTCACTATTTGTAGCTGCGATTGCTTGTTCTAAGCTTCTAATTAATCCTTATTAACGGGAGCCTCATTATTAAGATTTCGATAATGTTTACATTCTTACATTGTAGGTTAGAAATCGGAGGTGATGCAATCAGACATACGCTTTATATCAATCGGTTGGAAAAGCGGAGCTTTATGCCATATTGTAAAATTATAACATGAATAGGGGCTTACAATCATATTTTTATCGTATTTATAAACCGATGATGATTTCAATAAATTGATGAACGTCAAAGAATAATTGCAGCCTTTGGCGGTAGACATCGCAATCTGTAAACATAAAAAACTACTAGATTCATCCGATTTTAATGGCTCTAGTCCGGTCCGTTTAGACAATGGAATATAGAAATTTTGAATCTTTTCGAAAATGTAGATTTTCACGCGCAAAAAAGGACAATTCTATTTGGCGTGATCCAATATTGGATGAAGCGATAGTCATGAAGCCGAAAATGGCACGTTTTTGACGTTCCGCTCGCACTCGCTCGCTTTCGTAATACGATCATATCTACAATACCCCGCCTAACAGGAATCCGGGGATCTGGAGGGGAAATTCAAAATTGAAACGTCAAACTAAAATTATCTGCATATCTTTAAATTTTGTAATCTGCCGAGTTTAAAAAATGCGATCGGGTAACGTGTCGTATGTCGGTTTAATCAGGAGACTTTGGCCTTTCGTTTTGCGAAAAAAAATCGTAGCTACGTCGCTCCGTAACGCAGGTCCGTATCGACGAAGACAAAGTACGCCGAAAAACGGTTGTCATCGGTACTTTTGAGGCGCTCAAAGTTTACTTTTTCGAAATTTGACGGTAATTCTGACGGTCAGAATCGTTTCGTCAGCTCATTATCGTTATTTTTCGATAGCTGTATAATTTTTACTCGCTCACGTACGGTAGTAATAAGCGAGGACAGAGCCGGATGACAAGGTGACTTTTTCACGCGTCGAAAAGTTGCGTATTGTCGAGGAATTTTTAAATAATCGAAACTTTTCAACGTAAACGAATGGAGAAACGGATAAAATTGCGATCCCGTATTCGAAGTACGGGCTTTCTTATGCGACAGTCGCCAGGTCCGTATCTTCGTTATCTTCGGAGGAGATAGACCGTGGACGGCGATAAGCGCGTTTCATAAGCAAAAAAGTCATTCTTGACGACGTTCGAGGTTCGTTTATTCGAAACGGGTGCCGTAAACGGGAAAAAGTCTCTCCGCGTAATTCGTAGCGCTAGTCGAGATGTACGAAACGCGGCGCGCGAAATTTCTTTTCTCTTCGGCGTAAAGGAGATATCGAAGTTTTTACCGCGACTTGCCGTTTTTCTCGCGTTTTCTTTAACATTTTCTTAAAAAAAAACTAAGACGCGGACCGCGATCGGTTCCGCCCTAAAGTGTGCGCCCGTCGTTTAGCTATCGAACGAGACCGATCTCGAGTCGATATTTCGATAAACGGCGAAACGAGTGTGAAATAACGCCGCGTACCGTCCGAAAAACGGTCGATTTTTCGACTTTACCGGCCGTTTTCGATCCGATCCGTTCCTCTCGCCGCGACGGCTCTCGCCCGCCCGT